CAGGTCCTCGACCGCCACGGCCGGCGTCGCCGCCAGCCGGTGCATCCATGGCGACATCGCCATCGCGGTCCTTTCTCGGTGCACTTCGGGTCTTTGAGATGCCCCCGCCGCGACCACGAGGGGCGGCGCGACGAGCGGTACCACCGCGAGGTCCGGTGGGAGGTGCCATGGCGATGGTCTGAGAGGGATCGGCTGGTTGGTCAATTGGGTTCGGTGATATTTCGAGGATGGGCAAGAAGGCAGCGCTGGGTCAAGAGGGAACGAACATGGCGAGGCGTCCGTCAAGGTGTGGTCGCAGATGGGCGATGATGGGAGTGGCACGCGGGGTGCGAAGTCGAACAAGTCGAACAAAGCGTGGCGTGGTGGTTCTTTGGCTGCCGGATGCAGAAGTACTGCCAAAGAAAAGGGAGGGGATAAATTCTGGTCCTCCCGGAGGATCGTCCCTTGTTCCTTGTTCCTTGGCTATGTTGTGGTTGTGTTGGTGATGCCTTCGTATGTGGGACAGTGGGTTGGAGAGGAAAGAAAAAGAAAGAGAGAAATGACGAAGCATGGGCCAGAGCTCCCAAGGTCGAACAAAGAAGACCCCAGCAGGCAGAATCAAACAGGCCCACCCCACTTCTCGGTCGCCGCCCAGGGCTGCCATTGGCCGGGACCGGATCCACCCCCTCCACAGCTGTGGCCAACAATCACGTGACCGCGCGGTGGGCCCACCATTTCGCCAGGGCCATCGCGTCTTCCCAGTGAGTGTGTGCCCTGTAACCGCGTTCCCTCCTCCACCACCGTGCACTACTTCGAACCTCCAAAATAAGTAGGTCGTGCACGTCCATCTCCAAACATTGCACCTATCAATTCAGGGGCTGCCCAAGATGGACGACGACGAGTTTGACGAGTTTGATAACATTCCAGACGAGGACTTGCTCCTCGCTCTGACGCAGGCCACTGGCGATCAACAGAATCCGAATGGGGGGCAATCGGGACCATCGCGGCCTTCTGGTCCGTCGCATTCCTACTACTCATCCCACACTTCCTCCTACTCTTCCGTCGCAAGGACGTCGGGCCCTTCGGCCTCGAGGACACAAGGCCGATCCGGTTCTGCCTTTCCTCCGTCCTCGAGATCGGCCCACAATCCTGTTGGCGCCAGTCTCGATCTGGACATGGACGATCTTCCGTCGGATGCCTTCAATAGCTCCCCTGAGGAGAGCAACAATGATGACTTTGGCCAGTCGTCTTGGGGTCAGGGCCATGGCCAAAGGTCATCAAGCAACCAGCCACCCCAGAATCAAAACATGAGGCAGACTACCCTCTGGGGAAACACGCTCCAGCAGAATCGATCCTCTCTGCCCCAGTCGCAGAGTCTCGCTACTCGTCCCTTCATTGCTGACCTGCCTCCCGAGGTGCCAACCCACCACGAGCTCAACCAGGACGAGCTCGGCACCTGGGTCTACCCCCTCAACCTGGGCGACATCCGAGACTACCAGTACACCATCGTTAAGAACGGGCTGTTCAAGAATACTCTCGTGGCGCTGCCCACCGGCCTCGGCAAGACGTTTATTGCCGCCACCATCATCCTCAACTACCTCCGCTGGACCAAGGACGCCCAGGTCGTGTTTGTGGCCCCGACGAAGCCCCTCGCCGAGCAGCAGGTCCAGGCATGTCTGTCGGTCGTGGGCATCCCGCGCTCGCAGGCCACCCTCCTCACCGGCGACACCAATGCCTCGATCCGCGAGGGCGAGTGGGAGACGCGGCGTCTGTTCTTCATGACCCCCCAGACCCTGATCAACGACCTCTCCAAGGGCATCGCCAACCCCAAGAGGATTGTTCTCCTCATCATCGACGAAGCCCATCGGGCCACGGGCAACTACGCATACGTCAAGGTTGTCGAGTTCATCCGACGCTTCTCCAAGAGCTTCCGCGTTCTCGCCCTGACAGCCACGCCGGGAGCATCCGTCGAGGCTGTCCAGGATGTCATTACCAATCTCGAGATTGCCCACGTCGAGATCCGGACCGAGGAATCCCTCGACATCCGAAAATACGTTCACAACCGAAACGAAGATGTCGTGACGTTTCACCCGTCGGACGAGATGAACGAAATCTCCAGCATGTTCTCCAAGGCCCTTCAGTCTCTCGTGGACAAACTGGCCGCCCAGAACATTTACACTGGCCGAGACCCCATGAGCCTGTCGACATATGGCCTGATGAAGTCCAAGTCTGAGTGGATGCAGGGCCCTGGCCGCCATGCCGACGGCGCACTCAAGGGTTCCATGTTTGCCGTGTTCGCTGCGCTGATGAGCCTCGCCCACTCCATCAAGCTGCTCAAGTTCCACGGCATCAAGCCCCTCTACCACAACCTGCTCGAGTTTCGCAACTCGGAGGAGGCCAAGCCCAAGGGCGGCTCCAAACTGAAGCGGCAATTTCTCGAACACCCGGAGTTCCGAAAGATGATGACCATGCTCGACGCCTGGATGAAGCTCGACGACTTTGTCGGCCATCCCAAGCTGACCCATCTCTGCCAGGTCCTCGTCAATCATTTTATGGACGCCGGCGAGAACTCGGCCACGCGGTCCATCGTCTTTAGCGAATACCGCGACAGTGCCGAGGAAATCGTGCGACTTCTCAACAAGCAGCCTCTCATCAAAGCTACTGTCTTTGTGGGCCAGGCCGACTCGAAGAGGAGCGACGGCATGTCGCAGGTTCAGCAGCGCGAGACGATTGAAAAGTTCAAGAACGGTGTCTTTAACGTGCTTGTTGCCACCTCCATCGGCGAGGAGGGCCTCGACATTGGTCAGGTCGATCTGATCGTGTGCTACGACTCCTCAGCATCGCCTATTCGCATGCTGCAGCGTATGGGGCGCACGGGCAGAAAGAGAGCAGGCAATGTCGTCATGCTCCTCATGAAGGGGAAGGAGGAGGACAAATATAGAGAGGCCAAGATCAACTACCAAAAGATGCAAGAGATGATTTGCGAGGGGAGCCATTTTGCCTACCGCCATGATCTCTCGACCCGGATCCTCCCTCGAAACATCCGACCAGAGGTCGACAAGCGCCTCATTGAGATTCCCGTGGAAAACACCCAGGACCCGTCCCTCCCGGAGCCCAAGAAAACAAAGGGCAAGAAGAAGGCGGCACCCAAGAAGTTCAACATGCCCGATGGGGTCATAACCGGCTTCATCACGGCCTCCATGATCGGCAAGCCAGGTGCCGAGGCGTCGGCCAAAAAGAGCACAGCGGCCAAGAAGACGGCGCCAGCGAAGAAGGCCACACCGGCGAAGAAAGCCACGCCAGCCCGGAAGACAGCCAAACCCGCACCGGCCGACGACCTCGTACCCGTCCCCGACGCGGACAAGGTTTTGTTGAGCCAGTCTCAGACAACCGACCTCAACCGCCACTACCGAGAACTTCCACCCGGACAAGTGTCCCGCGAGTTCATGAGCGGCCCCAGCTTGAATGCATTCCCGGTCGCGCAGAGGACGCTCCGACCGACCGTCCACGTCCAGCACGGCGAGCATACAAAGAGATCGGTCAAGCTCTTTGCCACGCTCGGCAAGTCGCAGGACGTGTCGTCTCGCGACTTTAAGCGATATGGCGACGCCGACTTTTCTGCATGGGAATCCCTTCCGTGCCCTCCCTTTGCAGACGACGAGGATTATGTCGGGGGCAAAGCACCCACGCCGGCGTCAGAACCACCAGCGCAAAAGAGGCGTCGTTTCGTCGAAGAGGACGACGAGGAGGAAGAGGATGACGTCGTGGAGCTTGTGCACAGGCCCAAGAAGCGACGAGTCACCAAGGAAGACGGGGTCGATCCCAAGCCGAAGAAAACGCGAGCTCCGGCAACCAGCAAAGGTGGAAAGGCCAAGGCTACTACCAGCAAGACTGCCGCCGCCAAAAAGACTGTCAATACCAAGACTGGCAAAATTGCGAACCGAAACTCCAGAATTGCAAACTTTTCCATCAGTGACGACGACGACGACGACGACGACCCCGACGAAGACGAGGAAGAGGAGTCCATCACCCAAGCCGCCCCTCGTGCTCGCGCCCGCCAGCCAAAGGCTCCCTCCAAGGGACGGGGCGGGGGCAAGGGCAGCAGCCGACGCGGCGGCAACGTCGCCGAGGACTACGGCGACTCGTGCATGCGCACCAGCGACATGGACGAGACAGACGGCTCGGACGACGGCGCGGACCTGGAGGGCTTCGTCATTGACGACAACGAGGTTACGTCGAGCATGCAGCGCGAGTTGATGACGTCGCCGCTGACGGCGGCCCGGCGTGAGCGCAAGAAGAAGCGGCTAGAGACGGTCCGCGAGGAGGAGGCGTTCTATGTTCCTGGCGACCCTCCCCCGAAGAAGGTTCTCACGGTGTCATCAGATGATGATGATGATGACATGCCGGATCTCTCTTCGATGGTGGGGAAGAGGAGGGTGGAGGAGGAGAGTGAGGAGGAGAAGACGGTCAAGAGGTCGACTTTGAGGAGACGGAGAGTCGTCTTTAATAGTGACGATGAGACCGACTAGGTGGTCTCCTTTCTTTCTACCTCGGGTACCTATATAATGAACCTGGGCACATGGATGCGGGGCATCAAGGGGGAAAATGGAGTTTGGGGGTGGTTGGGAGCGGGATGCAGCGAGGCGTCAAGGAGGAAAATGGAATTTGCAGATGGTTGGCAAGCGGGATGCAGCAAGGCGTTGACAATGGTTCGGGCATCAGGGAGCATCAGGGAGCATCAGGGAGCGAGCATCAGGGAGCAGTCAAGTTGAATTGCTTATAACTTAGCTATACAAGATAGCTGTACGTATAGGAATGAAAAATATTGATAAAATGTAGGTAGACAGCCTTCGTGAATGGGATCCACAAAACAAGCGTAACATGATGTTGTCATAAAGCGCCCACTTGGGCACTATCCCTTAGGAACTATCCCCTGGGAGCCAGCTCTCTGTTCGTGTTCTCTGAGTCGAAAACTGGCTAGAAGTTAAGATGCCAAAAAAGGAGGCCAAAAAAAGGAGATTTGCCCAATGACAGGCTTGAACTGTCAACTTTCGCATGACCAAATACAGAAACCGGAGTTTTGTATTAGTACGACACTCTGACCAACTGAGTTAATCGGGCTTTGCAATCTGATGGGGTGTGTGTTATGCATGTTGCCTCTATGTGTGGATGTGTTGTGGTGCCCTAGATGTGGATATCAGGGGTTTACCATCTCAGGGGTCAACGCGATAGGGGGGGAGTGTCGAACAAAACAGAGCTTAATTTCTTTTACTTAAATTGATCGATCTGCTTCTATCTTCTCCTCCCAACTACCTGCGTTGGATCCGTCTTGCTTCCTTTCCAGAGCAAGGCCCGAGTCTAATTACAAAGGAAATCACAGGCCCTCCTCGCCCTCTCCCTCCTCCCATCCCCTCCCTCCCATGTGGTGCCAACAAAGAACCTCACACTCAAGCCAGATCGAGCGGCTCAGCGTTCAGTCCTTCATCAGCAATCCCCCCCGCTCCCATCTAGCCAGCTGGCCCGGGCCATCTCCTCCGGCGTCCAAGTCCTCCACAGCCTCGTACCCAGCCTCGCCCGCCCCCGCCCCGTCCTGCGGCGGGAGCCCTTGGGGCGTTCCCACCGACGCTCGATGCGTCGCAACGACCCCACATTCTCCCTCCTCCTTATCTGCATCTGCCGCGCCGCCACCGTCTTCCTCTTCCGACCCACCGGGAACAGCTCCTGACACCCCCCGCGCACCCACTCGCCCAGCTCCGTCCCCATCTCGGGGAACACGTACGTCCACGTATCCTCCTCCACCCCCGTCCAGTTCGTCCACAGGTCCGATATGCCCGGCCACGCCGTCCCCATGTGCTGCCTGACGGTCGGCCACCGCGTCAGCAGGCAGTAGAGGAGGATTACATTCGGCAAATCCGGGGGCAGGCAGAGGAACGTCGCGATGGGGCGGAACTCCTTGGCCGAGAAGTCGGAGAGGTAGTGGTCGAAGCGCGGGTGCCGCGTGGGGCCGCGCGGGATGCCCATGCGGAGCGGGAGGCCGGGGCTGTTGATGAGCTTGGCGAGGAGGCGGTCGTAGGCGGTGGGGTTGGCGGTGTCGGGATAGAGGTAGTTGATGCCGTTCTGGAACGTCAGGTGCAGGTTCTGGGGGGTGGCGGTGGGGGGGTTGGTGAGGAGGGAGGTGATGGTGATGGTGGTGATGTTGGGGGTTGGGGGGGTAGGGGGGAGGGTCTCGTCCGGGAAGAGCGGCGGGGGGGAGGAGAAGAACCATCGGGGGGGTTCCTCCGGGGGGGGTGAGAAGGGGGGACGGCCCCGCTGCTGAGACGGGGGTTGGGAACGGGGAAGACGGGTCCGGGGGCGGCCTGGGAGCTGGGGATGACCGTTAGAGCTGGCTTTCGACGGTGGGAGACGCGAGCGGGAGGGGCCGGAGGAGAGCTCGGCCCTTCCCCTCTGGAGATGACCGTTAGAGGTGGCTTTCGACGGTGGGAGACGCGAGCGGGAGGGGCCGGAGGAGAGCTCGACCCTCCCCATGTCGTTTAGGTATCCGACTTTGTATTTTGGACGCGAGCGGGAGGGGTCGTAGGAGAGCTCGACCCTCCCCATGTCGTTTAGGTATCCGACTTTGTATTTTGGACGCGAAGGGGTACACATCGCGTCTCGGACATATCTCATCAATCTTCTGTGCCGTGGTTCGGGGCTCGGTTCTCTGGAGTCGTAGCGCCGGTTGTGAGATTGGGCGAAAAGTCTTCCCAGGGCTCCAGTGGGGGATCGGCTTCGCCTGTCAGACATGGTTGGACTATTTCGTGAGGGACCGTCAGTCGAGATGGGAGGGATTTGATTTTAAAGGAGGTTTGGAGATGCCAGCTCTCGAGGATAAGTTGGGAGAACCCATTCGCCCACTGTGATCAAAGGAGTGTTCTGTTCTTATTCCTCCCCGTCCTGCCCGCGCAAGAGCTTCTGCTCTGTTCTGATATATCGTAGCCGACTGTACAGGTCAACTTGAAGCTCAAACTGCCCTTACAAAGGGACTCAACCGTGGTGGCCCATGTGGTGGCCGCCCCTGAGGGACAACAACAAACCTAAACCCAGGGACAGGAACCGTACCGTGGCCAGGGACCACTCGGCCTGACTTCCGACTACCGCGGTGTCTTTGTGTCTGTCCCAGAGTACGAGAACAAGCGAATTGTCCAGTCGCTTCTCAGAATAGACCACAAAGACACAACACTTTTGTCCATCCCCTCCTCCCAGCCCCTGAAACAACAAACAAAGACTCTGTCCAAAAACCCCCCTCCCACGGTAGGATAAAAACCCAGACCACCCCCCAGCCCGTGGCCGACCCACCATGACTTAGAACATACCCCTACCCAATGCCATCCAACCTCTCACCGACCCCAAGATAACCCCAACTCCCCACCAACATGTGCAAAACGTACAACATCACCTTCCCCGGCTGCCGGTCGCACAAGGTCACGACCCTCGAGCTCTGCAACGACCGGCTCGCCGAGCGCCACCGCATCGCCTCCTCCAGCCCGACCGTCGGGTGCTGCGGCTTCTTGTTTGGCAGCAGGAGCACCCCGAAAGAGCGCAAGGTATGTACCCCGGAGACGCACTGGATCCTGCGCAACGAGCCGTGCCCGACGTGCCGGCGGGAGGGCAACAGCAACAAGAACAAGAACAAGAAGAAGAGCAACGTGGACGCTGCTTATTATAGACCCCCTCCCCAGGCTCCCAAGCCGCAGCAGCAGCAGCGGCCCTCTCCTCCCCCGCAAGGGTTCCTCAACGAGAGGCAGATGCAGTCCATGCTCAAGCTGCAGGAGACGTACCGGGCCAAGGCGGCTGCCGGCCGGGGCCGTCGGAGTAGTTCCGTGTATAGCTCCGTCAATTCGGACGTCTATGGGGGGCCGCGCCCGGTGGCTGTCCCGGTCCAAAATGGGTATGCCCGGGGGCGGGTGCCGGATTATCTGGCGACGAAGCCCCTGCCGGTGTTGCCGTTGAATATAAAGAAGAAGAAGCCGGCGGCGGCACCTCCGCCGGCGCCGAAGCAGGCGCCGCGGAGGGCTCCTCCGGTGGCGCCGAAGCAAATGCCTCCTAGGCGGCCACGGCGGTCCACGCTGAAGCCGATGGGCCCGGTAAGGTATGACGACGAGCCGGTGCCGGATGATGACTTTATCGATATGGTGTATTCGTATCAGCGGTGAGATGCCTCTTGCCTGCTTGGCAAGTTGGTATCTTTTTACCGGGAGTTCGAAGAGTCAGTCATTCTGGTGAGGTTAGTTGGTCTTCTTTCACAGCGTTTCATCCTGTTTTTCCTTTTTACCTATATACCGGAGCTCGGCTGCTGCATTTTCGCAGCAGGACGAAGCTCGTCGTTTCTTCCAAACCTAGAAAATTAGATAGAAGTGAGGACATGAGAGCCTCACACCCACATATCCAACTCCAACTCAGTTCAACCATGCAATGACCGTTGAAGTGCGCGTGACATATGCCGTTCGCCTTGGTGACCGTCTCATGTTGTACGAGACGTGTAGGTTCATGTCTCCATCCGGACGGCTGACCGCGTGTAGGTCGTTCAAGCCCGCCTCGATTTTGTCTCCTCACCGAGAATTCCGGGTTACTGGTATCCGTCTGGGTAACCTCGGCGCGGCTCAGAGCGGCTCATTGCAGAATTTCCGTTTCTTTCTGGAGACTTGCATCGGTGTATCCTCGAGAGCCTTGGAGCCTTTCTCGAATATCCAAGTCCGCGTGGTTTCACCAGGCATAAACATAATTCTGTAGGTGCCATTAGCTCATCGTCCCGAGAAACTTGTGATTTTTTGGTTACCTGTCGTCGTCACTTTTCCGTTCCCCTCAGCGGGTCTGTCCCTATTTCGTTGCCTATCACCGGGAGCCCATCAAAAACCCCGCGTTCATGGTCGCGATGCCGGGACAGAGGCGGGAGATGGAGTTTTCCCCTCTTCCAAAAGGGGAAAAATGTCGATTTGGTGATGCCTTGGGATCTGGTGCAGTGCGGAAATGCAGGTGCCTGAGAGACGTGTGCAGCCGAGTGGTACGTCTTCCTCCCGTCCGACTCCTCACACATGCCGTCGGGATGGTTGGGGGAGACGACATGGACGACGAAATCGTCGCAGACCAGTCGGCGGATGGAGCCCATGGGGGGGGCATCGTGCCATGCGGGGTCGACGGCATCAGGTTCCAGCATTTCCCATTGCCCATTCCCGCCGTCTGTTGTTGTCCTTGCTTGTCCTTCTGTCCTGACTCCTGAGGCTGCTCGATTCTCTCTGCTCCCATTCGTGTGTTTGTGACGGGTCACCGGTCTTGGCGCAGGACAAGATTCATGGTAGGGCTGAGAGGGGAGGGGAGGGGAGAGAGGGGAGAGGCAGGACTTCCCCGCCCAAAGTTCCCCGTGGTCCTGTCGTCCTCGTCCCATCGCCCTCACTCGCATCGCTGCTGTTATTTTCGCTACTTGCCGTGAATTTCGAATGGGGCCACCCGCCAATCAACACGACGGGCCGTGATCAAGTTGGATCCTCGTGTCAAGGGAAAAAGATTGCCAGCCGTGTACCCACTCCGCCTTTCTGCACGTCGACGACCACGCCAAACTCGTCGGTTTCGCCCAGCCCTACTGCCCCAACGCCTGTCCTGCATGGCCTCAGGGACAGAGCGGGAGGCGGGGAGCCCTCCATCGGGAGTTGGGGATTGGAGGTCGAAAGGACTCGCGCGCCAAATTGCAGACGACCAGACGACCAGACAGATGCGGCAGGTCAGGTATGAGTCCTCACAACTCTGGTTGTCGGTTCGGTCGAATGAGTCCGTCCGATGGACCTCCACCCTGTGCTCCCTGTGTATGCAAGGTTCTACTGCGTAGTATCCACGTCGACCAGAGTTGGGGGCCGTTTTGCGGTCGGACTGTCTGTCAGTGGACTGGTCGACAGACTCCAGAGTCGGGGCATTGCTTTGCTGCCGCCCGCGCGCATCCCCCCGTTCATGTTCGACAAGCGCAGTGTTTCGGCCGTGTAATTGGGCCGCCGGCCACGAAACTGTTACGCATATGAACCCATTCCCCCGTTCCCCCGTTCCACGCTGGATCGGACAGGCCGCTGCCCAGCGCCCTGAACAGCAGTGGTTGG